CTCGCCTTTTTTCCTCGATCGCAATTCTTCTTCATATTTTCCCTACACGTATATGAGGACTCGATAGTTCCTGTCCTTAGTATATCCAGAGTCGTCTTCAAATTCCTTTCCATCAGCATTTTCCGCGGGTGCTTGTTCCGTTGCTGCATGGGGTGTGACCCTGTATCCAAACAGTAGATCCAATACCGCATTCTCCAGTCTTTTGTATGATCGTTACCCTTTATACAGGGTGTTTTTGAACCTTTCCGCGACGCTCAGCCACATTCCATTGTGAATAAAGTGATGGTACGCGTGCCGAACATCTGTGAATACGCTTTTTGACAGCAGTATTCCGAAATTACGCCGAAGTGAGGGGGGGGGTCGGAAACCAACTGCTCCGGCAACCCATTCCTGCTGAAAACCCCTTCAGCGCCATTATCGTTTTCTCGGCTGTGGTGGTGCCCGTTTTAGCTACCTCCGGCCACTTGGACTTAGCATACACCAGATCAGCATTTTATCCCTCTAGTCTCACAAAAATTGATGTGCAGTCTTTGCCAGACTTCTTTCGGCTCCTCCCACGGGTGTAGAGGTGTCTTCACCGGATCCCTATCCATCACTGCACATGTGCTGCATTTCTTTGCCATTTCTTCCACCGCTCTATCCATGCCTGAGAACCATCTGTTGGTTCGTGTCAGGCTAATAGTCCTGCTTCCTATGTGCTATTTGTGCAGCGTTTTTAACACTACTGACTGAAACTTCTTGGGGATGAACACCCTATTTCCCCATAATAAGCACCCATTATGTAGTGTGACAGAGCCCCTCTTGACCGCGTACGGCTTCAGTTTATCATCTTCAACCTTCATTGCCAACCTTTCTGCGTACATTAACTACAGTCTGCAGCAGAGGGTCATCTTCCGTGGCTTTAGCTATTTCCACCTCTACTACAGGCAGATTTTCCATCGCCTCTTTCGCCATTTGCTGCAAATGCCAATTCATTACATACCCATTTCAGAGCTGGCAATCTTCTTGATCAGGTAATGCTCGACATATCCGTGCGCGTTACCAAAGTCGGGGTAGTCTGCCGATATCTATTTCAGCTGGAGTACAGCCAGGAGCCTCAAGCCTCTGTGTAGCCTCTTACTGCTATTACTGTAGCCTGGAAGCGTCTCTCTTGCTCCGTTGAGTTCCTACTCGGGTGCCATTAAAATTCTTTGGAACTTGAGAGCGCGGCCCTCTACAACTTTGTGAACGGTTAAAGTTCACCATGTTTTTGCCTACTCCTCGTCGACAGCTTGCCGAAACGACCTACTACCAGCCATTTGATGACGGAATCTCATCCTAATGTAAGGCAATATGCAGAAATGAGCGACATCAAATTGCCGTGTAGCATTGAAAAACTTTTTAGCACTAGTTGTCGTAGAGAACCTTGGCTCCTTCGCTCTTTTATCTCTCCCAATTGAAAAAATTGGGTGTTCGGTCATTTTCGCCTCCGCTTTTCGTGGTATTAAAATCTTGATCCTCTGTGCAAGAATCCTTCTCTGCTGTGCTGTTTCCTCTGCCAGGTCTCGCAGCATATAATTTCTGTGAGCTCTTGCAAAATTTCAGCTTGTTTTCCCACTGTTACAAAAAATTCCTTAAGTTGGGGAAGGCTTAGGTCATTTTCTTTCGGAAAACTTCCGCCTCGGATTCTTGTGCTAGCTCAAGGAAAGAGCCTACCTGTGCTTTTGCCGCTGTTACCAATTCTTTTATACGGTCTAAGATATGTGTCATCTTAGCATTAGAAATATGCCTCATGTTATCCTCTATTGCGGCTTTACAAGCGGGCACGATTTCGTCCAGGGTATTTTTCCATTCCAAGGCTCACTAACCTGCTCATCAGCCAGGTCTTGTGCGCTGATTGCGGCTTGCTGCAGCTGTTCGCTGACGTTTTCAACAATTTTTGCTTCCATGCTGTTCGCACTGCAATGGTAAACATTAGTGTCATCGTCTCGAGGGGGGCTTGGCCCCCATGTTGGTTTGGGCCCGCCCGGCGAGTCCCAAGGTGTGTGGTGTTACTCCTCGAATCTGATGACATAATATATAATAATAGCGTTAATACGCCTCCCGCTAGGAACAGATGTTTGGAGAGCAAATTATTTATGAGAACAACGCAAACAAATTCCGAATTAGGAGTAAGAGCATCAATGTGTAACCGATCAAGTGACCTATATCCGGACGTGTAAAAAACAACACAGTCGAATAAACAATGTCCGAACGAGCGAACGAAACAAAACAATCAAATCAACAATATCCGAACGTGTGAAGATTCAAATAGAGAAGACTAGACAAAGAAGGACAGAGAGGGAGACACAAAAAAATGAGGAGAGAGGGACGCCACGTGGTTCTTGCGCCTTTTATACCCCTGCCTCCGCCGTCACCGCGGCTGAACACGTCTAAACGCGCAACAACCGAAACGAGCGACAAGGTAACCTGTTACAACAGGATTCCTTAACAGTTCCCTGATCCTGGAACAATGTGGTCGTCCGATTTCCCCAATGTACTGATCCCCACATAGCGCGCATAATATTAGGTAGATCACGCCTGATCTCATGCAATCACCCAACCGCTCATGAGGATAAATACATAGTCCGGGGTAATAACAGTATTGATCGCACCAGTTTACGGAAATCAGCGGTTCCTAAGGTTCGATGAGATCTCTCGAGCTACCGGACGTAAACCCGTTCGAGACCCCACACCGATACGTCAAGTCGTGTCTTACTGTGTGGACTGATCTGCGTCGCTTCACCAAAAGGCAAACAAAATGGCACTCTCCCGAACTGCTCAAATATTCAGTCGCATCTTGCTCGCTACTTGGCGGGTCCAGAAAAGGTAATTCAGCCCTTGGGGTACACGTGAAAAGAGAAAATGTCTCTGGCTAATCTCAAGCTCCGCTACACCAATCCTGACTGCTCTGAAGAAACATGTATTAGCCGTCCATGTTGTTGTTCATAGCCCGGTTTGTGTTAAGGGAATGCCATCACCGGAAAAATGGGCCAGGAATGCTCGTGTTGTCTGGTGGTCATCGGTAACCATTTCGTCCGGAGACCCTCGTATCCAAAAAAATCAATCAAATGGAAGCACTACACCTTGAGAAACGGAAGCCAACTGTCTGCGCGCTTCTCTCTGTAAGTGGAATGTTATACAAGTCTGGTGTTCAGCAGCTCAAAACCTGGGCGTTCGTTCTTTCTTCGATGTTGAAAAAAACCACCTAAACAGTCGTTTATTAACGACAGTATAAAAGGATACTCAGTCGGATCTTTCCATCTTGGCCATGTAGGCGATGGCTAGTACTGGTGCCGTTGACCCATAGCCAGTCCTCTGATCTGCCTGTAGTACTGGCCCGACCACCTGTAAATGGAAGCCATGGACACATTTTTCATAGGTTTCCATTACGCTGGAGGTTGGTCCGAGGCCGTACATGTTATCGATCACTCATTGTTCACGAAAGCAGTTTCGAAGGTGGGCCTGCAATGGCGCCCTCTGTCTGAAACGTTGGTTGGAGTGACGTAACGTCAAACGATCTCATGCTGCTGCTGAACTGCTCTGGAGAGGAATTGTGATTTTTTTCAGTGATATCTCTAGCTTTGAGCGCACGCTCGCCGCGCCCACTGCCTTCAGCCAGTGTGTGGTGTGAGTTATACTAATAATGCTTTCAGATTATTTGTTGGCGGAATGAAAATCACACCACTTCTGTCTACGGTGTCCACGCAGAAGCCATTCCCGATGGACCCGGGCCCGGTTACACATATAAGTAATTAAAGCTTTTATCATGGTTGTTGCCGCATGAATGCTTATCAGTATCCGCCTTCAATAAGAAAGCTCACGCAAAAAGAGTCAGAGATTCAAGAAATATGCAGCGCAAACTTCATCGTCTTACAGGCAACTCTTTCTGGCTTAAACTAAGGCTAGAACCTCATAAACGTGCATGATGATCAAGCAGGCAACAGTAGAGGATATGCTGCTTTTAAAAGTTGAAAAACAGCAAGCAGAACGCACGGCGCTCATGTTTTAGGCCCATTGGCGCCCGATAGGCCCATGCCGGCCTCCGGTGACCGTGTCGTTGTGACACAGCCATTGCGCTCTCTCGCCCATCAATCACTTGGCAAAAAGCCAAGAGTGCTGCGCGCGACACGCGCCGCGCGGAACGGCTGTTAGCATAAACGGTAGGCGGAGCATGGACGAATTAGACTTTCCCACGGCCCTGTACTCTGTGCAGTTTCGGGCGGGGAAACCACATCGACAGCTGAAGGGCTGATAGTCACATACACCCTCAATGTGTGTGAGCGTGCCATGTGTCTTTAAGAAGATATCTGGGATGGGTTTTTGAGGGTACGTATACAAAACACACCATCCCGATGAAGCAAATGAAAGCATGGTTCGGTTATGATCTATCGATTTCGTCCTGCTATTAGCCAAGCTAGGCCACCACACAGAGGTGGTGAAAAGGTGTACTCCTAGTGGCAAGGAAGTTTTCTTCATGGAAACAGACATTTTCATGAATTTCGGGAAGGTCGATACGAACGGTCCTAGTGGTGGTGAAGTTTGCTCTTCCACGTGATGCCACTGTGAACTGCTCGTCTCTGCGAGCTGAGCAATCACTCTTGTGTTGATTTCCATCTTCTCATTGATACTTGGGCAGTACAGCTCATAACTTTTGCACGCGGGCCTGCCATTATGGGACCTTGGCCGCGCCCAGGTTCCATTCAAGTACGCAGCCACGCCTGCCGCTTCTCAGGGGTTTGATTCTATGCGATACCAAAAGCCATCGAGCCTGATTCCTGCTAAAAGCGAAAAATTCTCCCTCAGGAGAAGTCCGAACCCATAACATAATGCTTGCGCGACGCGGCGAAAAAAACTACAGTTGATATCATCGAGTCGAGGCTGTGTCGGAAGGGCGGAATGAGCCCGCCTTCGGTACATTTCGCCTTACCAACAGTAATCGGTTAGTAATCAATTCAGGAAGAGAACAACCAGTGGCGAAAGCGCCGCGATGCTCATGCTTATCTCTTGACACCGCCCCGACCTACTACATATTGACCTCATTTCTAACGCCTTCCATACAACTGCTCTGTGAATTTGGAAGCAGAATCGAACGAGTGTTCAAAAACGTATAGTACGGGCATGAATAATATAGCGATAATGGACCAACTTTTGAGTAGGCCATATCGTATTCATAAGACCACCACATTTCTGAGTGGAAACACAGGCGTGCCAGATAAAGAGCAAGTATACGAGAGCTTTGTCCTCTATAACTTTAACAGCTCGCAAGTTCCTATTGCTCCAAAAGCTTGTAGAAGCCTTGAGAGTCGCACCCCGACTGTCTATCGCTGAGGAGACTTCATGTTGTAGTCTCTCTTCAAGAGGTTCCTTGCAGAGGTACATGCGCAGACCTTTGCAGGATATCTCATTGTCGTTGTGCGCTTATAGAGGATACCGAAGAAAGGGCGAGCAGTGGGTGGTGGTGCAAATCTTCACGAGGATGAGGGTTTCCATTTTGCAATTTGTGCTCGTACCTATTGGAATCTTTGTACGAGCGAGCATGCCTGATAACCCTCGAATCTGTTGTCAAAAAAATGAGGGACGCCTATCGCCGAGCTACATGAGTTCGTGGAACTTTCTCCGTTTC